CCTCGTAGAAATTGACGCACGACGGAACGTTTATTGCCCATACAAACGTGCTTAAACATGAATAATATCAAGCTTCTAGATATCGTGCAGCACGATAGCTGTCTTCAGAGAATATTCCTCGGAGTGTTCTCACGAGACACGCTACCAACCGTGTCCAGTCCAAAATTTCCGCTCGCACTGATTGTGAACTCGGACAAGCACGCGGAACCCGGACAGCACTGGCTAGCTATATTTGCTAAGAACAGTAAAAATGTCGTTTTCTTTGATTCTTTTGGTAAGTCTTCTTTATTTTACGGCATGGAGTTTGACAAATTTATCTCGGAAAATTTTCCGGCTACCAATGGACATTATCAGGAGAATCGGATCCAACTCCAACATCCTCAGTCTAAACTTTGTGGTCTCTTCTCTGTATTTTTTCTTTATTACTCTTGTCGCGGTCTTACGTTACGTGAAATTGTAAATAAGTTTGAATACCCCAAAAGACTGCAATTCAATGATAAAATGCTGTATGCTTTTGCTAAGAGGAAATTGCATGTGTGTAAAAACCCTCGAAAATGTTTGAAGCATATGCCGAAAAAGCAGCAATATTCTCTGCCTATGTATAAGGTTATCTATTAAAATGCGGAAAAAGAACGTCGTTTGGTTCCGGAATTTATTTGACTCTTAAACACTTGAACACACACGACAGTTTGCATATCTCGGAAAAATTCGATTTTGGTAGGCAATACAATCAACAGAGTTGCTTTGTTAACATAGATGCACACCAAAATCGAAATTTTGATGATTTAGCCAAAATGTTTCCAGTTTTTTCGAACCGTAACTGGGGTGGCTTTGCTTCTTCGTTTGCCACTGCTGTTTCGTTCTGGCGTATTAAAAGAAAAATCGGAAGGTTCAAAATCTAAATATGCTCTACGACGCTGCATATTCGGCAATAACGTAGCCGGCGCATTGCAACTTTTCATTGCCTCGAATACTTCTTCTATTCCATTTGGAGGAGTTTGTGAAGGTCCTGGATTTGTAGGTGTAGTTAGCCAACGGATTAAATCCACAACGTTCGTACCGTTTTTCAAAATCCCGTTTACTGCAAGTTCCAGGTTTTTCCCAATTGAAAAATGACCGTACTCTTGTAAGTGCGTTAGCAAATGGCGTGCGTTGTTCTGTTGCTTCTCTGGTAGTAGAAAAACCACTCTATCTGTGGACTTATCGCTACCATGCGTTGCAGCATCAGTTTCGTCGAAAGGATGCTGCGCTGGATGCTGCTGCATAGGCAGTGTAGCCTGTCCTATATAATTGTTGTACCGTTCCATAGCGTCGCTATGGGCATTTAAACGCTGTCTGCTAGTCATTGTCGGATTCTGCAGTGAGTTTGTCATATCTCGGTATGACTTGGTCAATGGACTCGCATAATAGTCCAGATGAGCATGTGTAGGCTGTACAGGCACGGGAGACAGGCTTCGGGATTTCCTGACAGCACGTAGCTGTTCTTCATTTAACAAAAACATTCGTCGTGCCATTTTCAAGCGTTTCCCAAAACAAAATTAAGCACAGGAGGCAGGATTAAAGACAATAAAGCAAAGCCTTTTGCTAACAGAAAACTTCGTTTAGTTTTTCTGGACACAGACTTTTTAGACAATAACTTTAAATAGGGCAATAAACGTCGAACTCGTTGAGCTTTCGATGATTCAGAAACGGGAACCGTGCCTTCAACAATCTGGAGAGCACATTCAGAAATGGCATCAATCAAAGTGTCTTCCGAATTTTTAATAATCGCTTTCGCAAGTTTCGGCTTGCTCTTAGCTATTGATGACAATAAATCAATATTGGAAACGGTTTTACTTCGCTCCATTATGCCGGTAGATAAACTTCGGTATAGCCAGGAAAGTTCTCTCCGAAGATCGACGATTTCAGCCGATATCGATCGCTTATATTGTGTTGCAAATCAATTACAATATAACCAAAAGGCTTCTCAAAAGCGGCCGTGACGGCTTCCATGAAATAATTAAGTTTATTAGGAAAAGTTGGCGTCCTAAGATTTGTAGTTGCTGTCGGTCCTGAGGATTTTTAAAACAAACAATGACTTTAGCGTTTAGCCGTATATCTCGACCAAAACTCTGCTTAAAAAACAGATTTTGTGTCAGATAGATGACCGTTGTATTGGAATGGCGTCCACCGTTGCAAAATAGTTGGGCAACGTGTTTGCTCGTTTTTTCTTCTAGGTGTAAGTCGTCAATCACACAAACATTAACTTGTTTTTATCAAAAAAATTCGGCTTTGAAATTTCTTCTGGCAAACCTTCGATAAAAGTAATTGGAAATCCTTCCTTTACAAGTTGATCGTATAAGGACTGATACTGCTTATAAAACCAATAAACCCGTTCCGGAACTTGCGAGAGTTTATTAAATCGGAGAATATTTGCCACAAACGTGGTTTTACCAGAACCAGAATTCCCACTGATTAACATAGAAGTTGGGTGATAAAACACATCATTCAACTGCACTTCCATTATTACGTCCGAGTAGCAAACGACGTGATTCATTTAAAACAAACGAAATCAGAGGCATAATGATGTTGTGGATAGGAAATCGATCAGTAACTCTTAATACAATGACAGCACCTAAGCGGAAAAGTTGAGAAAACACAAACGGTATGGCGTAAAATAGAGCCCAAATGAGTATTCCCCGCGAGTTCTTTTCCTCTACGGGAATCGGTGGTGGCGTTTCAGGGTCCATGGTTTCTATGGATCAAAAAATTTCAAAATTAAAAATTTGATTTCAAACCGGAAATTTCAAACTGAATTTACACAACAAAAACTTGCCACTCGTGGTGGATCAGTTGGCATCGTCAAAAATGAGTAAGTCAGCTGGCTTTCCGTCAAACTCGTCGCCCCAAGACGGATATACCGGTGGTGTAAACCCTGCAATAGTGTCCCGTTTTTCTTCCCCCAGGTCGGCTGGTTGAGTGAACGGAACACGTCCCTGTTCCAGTTTCTTCAGCTTTTCGAACTTGTCCACGCGTTGGTAGAAATAATCAAATTTTGGTGCGGGAGGTCCGATGTCATCATCGGCGTCACATACACCAGTGCATGTTTCATTCCAAGCTTTAACACCGCTCCCGTCGGGACATTCAAAAGTAATAACCTGTTGGATGCGGTAGCCGGCACTCGGGCAGTCTTTGCGCCATTTTTCACTTGGTACTTTAGATAATTACGCATACGACCGTGTGCCAAATCGCGAACAATAGGGCGCCATTCTTTCCAATTTTCTTCGGTACATTTTGTTGGATTCTCTCGGAAGGCGATATTAGTGCCTTTTTCCTCTTTTGGATATAGTGCAAATGCTACTTCTCCAAGCGGTTGTTGATGGAACCAGGTTTCCTTCACAAACTGCACTCTAACACCGATTGTGAGATCGGGATAGTACTTCTGGGCGTCTTCGAAACGTGCCACCAAATCACGATAGACACCCTGTAGCATAAGAACGTCGTCCTGTTGAACAGTACTGTAGTATACGACTCCGTTCTTCATCATGCGTTCCCCAGTTCCGACGGGAAACAGAGCGTTAGCGGCGTTTTCTAAAGACATTTTTAAACTCGCGTGAAAATAACGGCAAAAGTGTCCGCAGTGGCACGGTAAATCGGCAAAAGTACTGTATGTGTACGTATATGTGAGGAGGTAAGTGAACGTGTGTCCGAGTCCAATGTGTGTGTGCGTGTGTTTTGTCTGAATGTGCATTCAAAGTTACTTTACTGCTGACTGAATGTTTTGTTGCAGATGGAACGCCTACTGCAAGTATTGCTCTTGCTGTCAGTGGTCAGTAGCGCGCACGGTGTATGGTCGCGCTGTCTGAATCACTGTCAGTGCGAGCGCATCGAAGGCGTGATGAACTGTGGGGGCGGGATTTGACTACAGTGCCTACCCCGCGCAGCCCGGAACAGTGGGTGCAGGTTATCCTGTTTCAGAGCAACCGTCTGTACGGTGTTCCGTATGCTGCACTCAGCCGGTATTTTCCGCGACTCCGCCTTTTCGACGCACGTGGCAATCCGGTTCTAGAGTGTACGGAACCGTCGACCGTTAACTTTACGGTCTTGTCAGACTGCGGCCGTGTTCCCTTCACAGCCACGCCAAAGGTTCCGCTGAACACCACGGACATGGGCACGGGTTTATCGCCCACCGGGACAGCGTCGAGCCCAGCGGATAAGCCTCCAATGCTACTGACAACGCCAGCACCCGAGGATCATGACTCCGCAGTCAACGCCCCCAACGTGGTCTACGCCATTATCGGTGTAATCGTTGCAGCGGCGGCAATTTCAAGTGCCGTAATGTTCTTTCGACGCCGGTGCGCCGTGGCTCCTGTAGCCCACGCTATCAGTACCGAGAGTACCGAAATGTCGGTGGTTAATGAGCATACCGACCTGTAATTACTGTACATATGCTTTTTGTACAAATTAATTCTGATTTTGTACATACTTGTTTCTGTACAGATTCTGTAGTTTGAATCTTTGATGTCTGCTCTTCCATTTTTGATACTGTGATCTTCTGTTTTTGTGATATGTTACGTTCTGCGGTGTAAAAAAACTAATTACTGTACAGATTTTTACGAAATAATAAAAATTCGATTTTGGTTGGCATCACGTTCTGGTATTGTGTTCGTAGATCAAGTTGCATACTAAAATCGAAATTTTACATTATTCATATGTACTGTACTTATACATAGGTTGTAATGTAGGATGCAGTATTCGGTGCATTTTACTGCGATAGCGACGTATTCTGAGGTGTAAAGACATTGTTACTGTACGGATTTTTACGAAATAATAAAAATTCGATTTTGGTTGGCATCACGTTCTGGTCTTCTGCTCGTAGCTCAAGTTGCATACTAAAATCGAAATTTTACGTTATTCATATGTACTGTATTTATACATAGAAATTATAATCTAGGATACTTCAGAGCAGTATTCGACGCATTTTCTTTGTTATTGACGCATTAATCTCTGTTTTGTTGAAGATGGATGATTCCATGGAGACCCCGGAGCAGCTTCCCGTCTCAACCGGGCTGCCTCGTACCACACCCCCATCGTCTCCGGAACGTGTGCGTTATCGTAAGAGTGGTAAACCGTTGACGTCTGATATCGGAGAGAGTGACTCGTCTTCCGATGAAGAGAGCGTAAGCATTCGACCACCGACCCCAGTCCGACAGCTGCCTCCCGAGCAGCATGTGCGCACGCCTTCACCTCCGCTGCCGTTTGATCCAGTGCATCGCGTTGAGTTTTCAGCGGGTGATGGTGTTCCTAAAATTGGTTTTAATGCTGCTGAATTTTCACACGAGTATGTGCTATAAAGTTAACAGTATCTGGTGCAAATATTGATAACTACCTTAATTTTTATCTTTTAGTACCCAGATGGCTGCAATCAGACTGATGGGTGCGTGCATTTACGTTGGGCCAGAGGCAGAAGAACTGCACCTTGATCACCAGTCAGACGTGGCAGATAGCCGCGCCGAGCGGAGGCGCACGATGATGAGTACGAGTTGGACGCCTTCACGGATCATCCAGTTGAACCAAGCGCAGACCCGGACCGTGTTCCGCAGATCGGTGCTAGTGCCGACCCACGCGACCGCTCCACTCGCCGCCCGGATCCATCGCGCATTGTGACGAAACGGCTCGGTCGTGCTGCATTACGTGACAAGTATCGCCAAATGAACCCTGTAGAAGTTTTTCTGCCGCGGCTAGCATTCCAACGCGTTGTGCGTGTGCTCACCTGGACGAGGAATCCAGAAATGCGCATGCAAGTTGGAGCACTTGGTCTACTACAGGAAGTGGCCGAGCGCTTCGTAATCGAGTGCTTGACGAAAGGAGCAGCGTGTGCCGCACATGCCAAGCGGAAAACTTTGCGGCGTGAAGACACGGCTCTGGCACAGTATGCGCGGGGTGAAAACTGGCTGAATATTAAGGAATTTAACCCCATGGCACGTTGGACCAGTTCCTAGAGTACCTGGAGGAACTACGGTTGGGACGTATTCCCGTGTCAGGTCCCAGTCCCGAGCGTTCTGCGTTGTCGGCTGCACTGCCCGTAGTGGTTCAACGTGCAGGAAAGCGTCCCATGGTGATGGAATCGTCTTCGGACGATGAGAGTGACACCCACGTGCAGGCACCACCGGCCCCGACTCAACGTAAGTACTGTTTTGTATTAAGTACTAATGTTATTTTTGAAGTTACTGTTATAGATAAACGTGGCGCCGGCTCCATCCGCGGGACCGCTATTCTTGGCAAGCGTGTTGCCGTACCTGTCCGAGTGCTTGCACCGACACCAGCGACTGCTGAGCCTGAACAATCATCAGAACCAACCGGTAAGATGCAAATTTCACAATAATTATGTGCATTTCTACATATCTGTATGTTTAGCGGAACCTGCTCGCGGCTCTGTTGCTGCAAAAAGCAACTGGTTAAGCGCGCGTGAATTGGCGGGCATGAAAGTGCAGAGCACTCGATCTCCCTTACGAACAAGGGAACTGCCGCATGTTCACGTGGAGCACGACGCGGACGTGCACCTCGTGGAATGCGTGGATCACAGGATACACGACCAGCTCCACCAGCCCGTGCGCAGTCACCGAGTCCACCCCCAGCACGCTCTGTTCAACCAGATACTGCTGTATGCTCACGTGGAGGACGGCGTGGTCGAGCACCACGTGGAATGCGTGGATCCCACAGTACACGACCAGCTTCACCAGCCTGTGCGCAGTCACCGAGTCCATCCCCAGCACGCTCTGTTCAACCAGGTACTGTATTTTCAATTCTTGTAATGGTGTGTGCTCGTACATAACGTTAAATTTTGGACTTTGTTTAGTTCGTCGTCGTGGCACGGGTGGCGCCAAGCGCATTTGCTTGGGACGTCCTAATGGAGTGAATCCGAGCCTGCCGGCTTCCGCACTTGCCCAAACAGCTCCTGGTACATACTACACAACTACAGTACTTAGCAAACATTTATCTGTATAACTGTGATTTTATGTATTTTAGCGCCACGAAGTGCAACCCCATGGCTGGATGCGCTGGGAGGACACAGTTCTGATATGGCATTTATGCGGGAGCGTGGACGTGATGTCGCTGTCGGTCCTGTTCAGCAGCCAGCGCCTCAACTGTTGGGTGGCTTTGTCGCACCGAATGGATGCGTTGTGCAGCGTCCGATTGTGGATATGCACCCGAACAAGAACCGTGGTGGCAGACGCAAGCTGTAGTGCAATGCTTTAAAGAAATATTGTTCACACTTGTATTTATTATGTGTACATAATACTCGTATATTTGCAGGTACATACGTGGGTCGGAGCGTGGATATGCGGATTCATCATTGCTATTTGTTAATGCATCGGTTGTGGTCATGTCATGTGTTTTGTTGTGCGCGTGGTGACAGGGATGATTTGTTGTTTTAGTTATGCGAGCGGTACCGGGGTTAAATGTTGTATGCGTGGCACGGGGATGTTACTCTGGGATAAAATTGTTGCATGTAGCGAACATTGTTATTGCATATGATCCATTGCGGAAGTGGTACGGGGTTCATCTTTCATGTTTTTGGTGACAAGGATAAAAGAGTGCAAATTTTTCATTAAAATTACTGTACTCGCCGCATTTTTTCATTTATACTCGTATTTTTTAACTCGTTAATTAGAAAAAATGAAAATTAACCATTGTTTCCACTAATGAATTACGTAACTTAATGAAATTAATGTAAATTACTGTACTCTATTGTTTAATTTAATTAAAAGTAATTAAAAAGTTAATTATAGGCAGGTGGTACTGTATATACAGGCAGGTGGTACTGTACGGACCCCTGGGGTGTTCCTGGCAGTGGATGTCTGTGTATTCTAC